CCATACCATATGTCTCCTGTGATAGTTTTAACTGATCCAAACTAACCTAAGTTGTTTTATCAATGAAAATCCATGTTAGGGGTATATCTAGTATATCTAGAACATCCAGAAAAATGGAATCCATTTCATAGAATAAGATGCTATTTGATATATGCTTTCTAAGTTTCAGTTAAGTATTTCTTTGCCCTTGTGCAAGGAAGCATCCATGTCCTTTTCTAGCCTTGAATCTTAAAAGTTCCCTCATGCAAAAATCTACCTACTTCTGATATTTTTAATTTTTAATTATCCTTCATCACTTGGTATTATCATAAAAGAAGGCTATTAAAAAACTTCCCTTACAATTATTTGTGTTCACCCTAAGAATTTATTGTTGAAGTACTGAGAATTTTGTATGTTATCATAGTTCCCCAGGTACACATAATCCAAACAACATAGATATTTCACAAGCAAATTGAGAACAACTGGAAAGGAAAATGGTACACAATGATTAAGGTTTCTTTCCTCCTTTCTGTTTCCTACTAGATTAACAAAACAAGGTGGACAACTTCTTCAAACCAGAAAATCTTATCTCTTTCTTTAAGTACTAACAGAAGAAACTTAGAAGAAAAAGAAATTAGAACTTTAAGTTCATTATTTGCAATTCACATCTTTCTGCCCAAAGACTTATCTGATATTTTCAAAATATGCTAGACGCTCTGGGTAAAGTGATTATTTTTGATACCTGATATTATGATACATAGAAAGGGAAATGCTGCATCAGAAGTATTTGGTGGTTAACAGTTCTTTAAGGTTAGTGGGTGGTGGTTTTTTTATTGTTTTGGGGTTTTTTTTGTTGTTGTTTTTTTTTGTGTTTTGTTCTTTTTTGTTTCTTTGTTTTGGGGTTTTTTTGTAAATAATAATATTTTTCCACAGATCTTCATGGTAGAAAGAGTAACTGTGGAATTTGTACCTACGGTTTATTCTTTGATCCTAATGAAGTAAATTATGTAAATATAGGGAATATTGCTGGAGCTGATGATTTGTCTGTAGCATGCTTTATATAGACCATTTCCACTTATAATTTAGGTTCAAGGAACTCACTGCAGAAATTGATTTTGAGAGTAAGCTGTCCTCTTACAGTTCTCCACTGTATGTCGAGGGTGATAGTTTTTTATTGTCTTTCTGCAGTAAAGGAACTATTCTATCTTATGTTTTATACAGGATATTTCAATAGGAGATCTGCAACATCTGAAAGAGTAAACTAACAAGTATTGTCTACCTAGGTTGTTTTGGCATACTTAAAGGAACTGCAATTTCTATTCCCATAATTTGCTCTATTATTATTATTATGGATAGAGGTCCAGGTTATATTCTACTTTTTTTCAAAGCCTTTAATGTTCTCCCACCTTTTTCCAAGAATAAGAGTATGTAGATGATAAACCGTATTGCTTTTTACCTCTCCTTGTGTCTCTTACATAAAACTGTAAGTTCCAATTCTATATTAAATTTATTTGAAAGGTATCTTCCACCCTCTAACATGTATCCACATAGGTAGAAAGCAACTGCATATTGGGAATCTCTATCTACAAAGTAGGAAGCAGGAAGTGGAGTCCAGGCCATAATTTCTGGTCAACATAATCACTTCTACAGCTGAAAATATTCTAATCTATTCAAAAAATGGCATCCAGTAAATAGCCACAATAGCTAGAAAGCTATTGTGCTATAGCTAAATAGCTAAAAGCTAAACCTGATGCCAGTATTCATTATACCGGTAGCGTTCTGCTCAGCCACGTGCAAGCAGAACATTTGCATTTTTATCTACCTTTAACCAACCAGTTCATTTTAATTTTTTTGCATGTTTTAACATAGAAAAAAAGGCTTCAAAAGTAATGTGAAATATCTTTGACTTGATGCAGTATGTGCTCATTTTTGTGCAGTGTCAGTTTTCAGTCAATTGACATTCTTCTTCTGACAATGTTTGTACCAGCAGCTTAGTAAAGCAAACTGATTACCACTGCTTTTACTTTTAATCTGTCCATATACTAGTAAGAACAACTCACATCTCACATATATCAGTGCTGTGTAGACAAATGTCTTTTATCTTGTTTTTATTCTGCCACTTTTTCATGCAATTGAACTAAATTTCTGTGTAGATTATTGAGCAATTCAGTGTCTTAAAACTTTCTAATCAGAGCTGCAACACAAAGGATAATTTGTAAATAGAACCTGTTAAAAATTTTTACCATACAACTAAGAATCTGTTAATAATCTATCTTCATTTTGTTGTCTTGGGTTTTGAGATTCACACTTTTTTCTCATCCTGTTTTCTGGGTTTTCCTCTTGTTTTATCTTGAGTTTTCTTTTGTTTGGGTTGGTTGGTTATATCTCTTTTGGAGAGAGAGGATTTCAAGTAGTTAACTCAGTAGTTAAAGCCCATTGTAATATTTTTCTCTTCTAAGTCTCATGAAGAATATTTGGTTTGTTGTCCTCCGAAATCTCAAGATATCCTAAGTAGATTGACATTTAATTTAGAGGTTCATTTTTTCCTAGCCCTCTGTATTTTCTTATGATATTGTACATGGTAAAGGCATATTGTAATAAATTTCCTCTGATATTGACAGGACCCTGAGTGTGCCTGTGGACTCTACAGTCTATCCCACTCACCTTCCCACGGGACTGGTCTGCCATGACCCTTGTCTGAGCTGTGGTGTGCACTGATTCAGCCTCAGGAGATTTTTCTCACTTGACTATAAATAGAGGTTAAGCTAACCATGCTCATAAGCTAGAGCCTAGAGTCCATGGCATACTCAAAAAACATCTGATTTATTTTTTGGCCATTATTTATATCTCCCAGATAAAATGGGAAAAGCCGTGGTGAATCCCTTAACATCTTTAATATCTGAAACAAGTTTTCAGAACACTTTAAAATACACATAAACAGTTTCAAATATGAAAGGAACATTCAATCTAAAATCTTACGTGTTGCAGTGAGAAAATAATAGAGGTCATATAAGAATAGTTTGTACTTTGTGCCATCAGATGCTCCAATCACAAACCCATGCTGTTACTTTCAGACAGCCTGAAATGCCCTCCAGAATAACACAAAAGACAAGAAGAATAGAAAATGCAGTTGGTACAGTACTGAGTTTAATAGGAAGTTATAATCCTTTGTGCTTAGGGGAAAAATTAATCAGATGAAAGTATCAGACAGACAAAAGTAAGTTTCTGAGTAAAGTAGTGACAGGGAAAGGTCATGAGCTTTAGTGTAAAATTTTTTAAAACCCACACAAAATCCCCCTAAAAAGTCCTGAAAAACACCTCACTTCCTATGTTTCAAGGGGATAGGTGTGATTTTATCAAACTATAAAGACCCTGACACTTTTATCTTCAGAGGACTATTTTCCTTGTGAGAAAGAATTTCCTTCCTGTGTCACTGAACCTTTTTCAGAAAAAGTTTCAGTTTTTCAAGAGCTGAATGTGTAGCTTTGCTTGGAAAGGTCATCTGCATTTCTGTAGACTGCATGGCTTGGAGAAGACAGATTAAAGGTCAATATTTGCTAAAGCAGATCAGTGTGCCAGGAAATGAATGGCAATGATATAATTCTTTAAGTAGCGTTCACTGTAACTACAAATGAGAGCCAGATGCAGTCCTGACAAAGAGCTGTCACTGAGTTACCTGTTGCAAGAAAGAGTGTGTTACAACAGACAGTGAAAACAACTGAGATTCCTCCCATTCTTTCCTCTGTTA